GACCTCTTCGTCGGTACGAGGGCTTGTCGGTCGCGGTGCGGGAGTCGGGGCCACTACAGATGCGGCATCGGTGGATGTGCATCTCTGCTGCTGCTCGCTCAGTGCTGCGACTTGCTGCCGGAGGTCCTCTAGATCATTTCTGAGGCGGCTATTTTCCTCCTGTAGTTTGGCGACCTCGTCAGAGGCCGTCCTGTTGAGGAGAATGCCAACCGCCTCCCTGATGTCCGCGGCAGCCTCTTTTAAGCCACGGGTGAACGTGCCCTTCAGGCTGCCAGACTTGGTGGCAACCTTCAGGACTAAGTCCACCCCATCCAGAGCCAGCTGGCTCAAGGCCACCGCAGATGGCTCTCCTTTTTCCGCCGCCAGAGCAGCTCGTCGTTCGCGAGCACGTCGGGCCATTTCAGACACTTCGTCTGCTGCGACGGCTTTGCGCTGTTCCCTCTTGGCGGCGTTGAGCTCCGCCTTTGAACTCCCCAGCGAGGCACAGCTTTCGCCGCCATCGCCAGGGTCCTCCGTAGTGACCCCCATGTCACTCTCTGCTTCACTAGCCGCCGAGGTATTGGAGCACACGAATCGTCCGTGCTTATCCCTTCGCGGCTGCGAAGCATTTACCCCTCTCGATGCCTGCCGACCCCTCCTCGAAGTCGCCAACTTGGGGGCTGGCAGGCCTTCCTCGTCCGAAGATCGGCACACTGGACGTTTCCTGGCGGAAGACGTCCCACGCGACCTATCCGCGTCTGATCCATCCTGTTTTTCTATGTCTACATTTTTTTTTATAACTTTATCCATTTTTTTTCCCACGAGTGTGGAGGAAGTAACGGTCCGTCCGAGCAGAGCCCCCTTTGCCCGGATAAGCCTATGCATAACCCGTCAAGGGTGTCGGCCGGTACCCTGACGGGGGGGCAACGCTAACGACTGAACATTTACCCATCAGCCATGCAGCTCCTCACGGCGTGCCACGCTTGAGCTTCGGGTGATTTTTTATAGAGGTTATCATCCTCGCGACTCCAGGCGGTTAAGCCAAGAGCCCTCGGCCCCTCAGGCGCCGCGAGACATGATCCACGACACGCCAAAGGGATTCCGAGGTTCGAACGGTGGCAGAGTCGATACGGGTTCTTCCCATGCCCGCCCAGAGACCGGGTGAGGGAACTCTGAGCCCATTCTATTCCCGCGATGACGGGTTGCCCGGCGTCGGCAAAAGCCGAGTGCACCTGGCATCTCACCGCGCATGTCACATCCTCTGTTCCTCTCAGTGGAGAGGATACGGGAAGCAACTAGCAGGTACTTGATTCCATTCGGAACCAGAGGTACGCCCCAAACCCAGCCAGTTTTGGTCCGCGACGGTTTCCCGCTACCACTCATATCTGAGTGGCATTCCCCTATCCGCCACCTGGGGACGCGCCCGATGGGAGGACTGGTAACTCCACACGGGAACCTAACCTAACCCTAACCTAACCTAACCTAACCTAACCTAACCTAACCTAACCTAACCTAACCTAACCTAACCAACCTAACCCTCCTCTTTTTTTTTTTTTTACGTGGGGAAATCCTCATGGATACCCGTCTGTCGTGTAGGCGTCAGACAGGTTATGCCGGACTCCTACCGGCTAAAACCCCACTGTTTACATCTCATCACCTTTTGTCAGGGCTACGGGAACGCTTTCGCATACTACCGCAATCCCGACGGCAACAGCCCTTACAGGCTCCGACTCGACGACTTCTTCTTGGAGGGGCGTACCATCACACCGTACGCGCCACCTCGAGGCCCTGCATAATAGGTGACGGACAGCCCCCAGTGTCCGCCCCCTAAGCCTCAATTACGGGGGGTGGAAGAGAGCCTGATATGCTCTTCTCCGGCGCCCAGCTCTCCGGCTGCGGATTGGGATTGTTGCCGTCTTTTTCCCTCTCCCTCTCCGCAACTTCCTTTTGTGACATCACTTTTTCGCAAAATGTTACCCCAGCACTCCACGCCCTCTCGCATCCAACCATAGCTTTAATAAAAGCTGGGAGCGAGAGGTCATCCCCCACTACAGCCACGAGGTCCCGACGCAAGTCAGCCCAAGCCGGGCAAACCTCAAGGGTATGCTGCGCCGTGTCCTCGTCGCTACCACAGTGATGGCACTCAGTTGTCGGCTCTCTTCCGGCTATACGGCACAGATACTTACCGAAGCACCCATGTCCGGAAAGCACCTGCACCAGCCGGAAGGTCAGTGACCCATGTCGCCTGTTTGTCCAGTCTAACATGACCGGAAGAACAGCATCGACAGTTCTGCTTCCTGCCTTCGGGTGGGCTAGACGCTCCTTCCACTTTTCAAGCACCTGTTGCCGAGTGTGGAGCTTTCGCAATTGCCACTCTCTGGGAGAGGGGGGACATCCTCGGTGTCGAAGTTCCAAGCGCCAATCGTACATAGACGCAAGGAACTCCGCCTCTATATCCCAGGGTGGGGACGCCGCCAAAACGCATGCCGCCTCAAAGGAGATCGTCCGGTATCCTCGCACGACTCCGACGGCCATCGCCCTCTGGGGCCGTCTCAGGAAGGCGATGGTTCTTTCCGTCAGAGCCCCAGCCCATATAGGGGCCCCATATAAAGCCATGGACCGAACCACCCCCAAATAGAGACGGCGGCAATTCGCATCGGGCCCTCCGACGTTGGGTAGCAACCTTTTTAAGGCAGCTGTTGCTCTCATTAGCCGGGGGGCCAAGCACCTAAAGTGCTCGCGGAAGCTCCAACGGCTATCCAGGATGAGTCCAAGGTACCTCATATTGGACCCAACCTGAATACGGACATCACTGACAATGATGTGGGATCCCTGTGGCGGTGCTTTTCGAGGCCTGTGAAAGCAGATGGCCTGGGACTTGCTTAACGCCACTTCCAGCCCCAACATCCTAATTCTGCCAACAACCAGTGCCACTGACGTAGTGGCAATACGAACGGCTACCTCATAGGTCTCCGCCCGGGCAGTGACCAGAGTATCGTCTGCATAGCAGATTATGCCAGCACCCGGGGGAAGGTCTCCCCGCAACACCCAGTCATAACCGACGTTCCAAAGAAGCGGTCCTAAAACCGAGCCTTGTGGAACGCCGCACGACATTACTCTCCTTAATATCCTGCCTTCCCGCCCAGGATAGCAGACACATCGCTCAGAGAGATAGCTCCCGATTATTCGTCTGAGATAGGGAGGCACCTTGTGGTACTTCAGTGCCTCGCTGATGCACTCCCAGGGCATGGTGTTGAAAGCGTTGGCAATATCTATAGACACTGCCAATAAAACCCCACCCCTTGCTAAAATCTCGTCCGAATGGGCCTTGACGCATTTAATAGCGTCTATCGTTGACCGACCCATTCGAAAGCCAAACTGCTGGTCTGACAAATCGGGACCCATCTCTTCGAGATGCCCGATAAGACGACGGGCTATTATTCGCTCGAAGAGCTTATCTGCTTCATCGAGCAATACTACAGGGCGGTAGGCGGAGGGAGAGTCGGCGGGGCGCCCATCCTTCTTCAGAAGGACTAGCCTGCCCGTTTTCCACTGTAATGGGAACCGTCCCATCTCCAGACAGGCATCAAGTAGCCTGCGGAATCGTTCCCCTAGTTCCTTGAGGGCTAAAACCCAGGCGCGGCCAGGAATGCCGTCGGGACCTGGAGCTTTGTTTTTTTTTTGCTCGGAGTTTTAAGACTGCCGCACCAAGTTCCTCCTGCGACACTCGTGGCACCTCATTCTGTCCTTCTTCCATCTCCTGTACAGAGGCCATTGCTGGTGGTAACCACTCCGCCCGATCTGGAAATAGCACGTTCACCACATCCTTAACAAATTGAGGTTGGAGACTCTCCGTGAGTGGAGGCGCCCAAGATCGAAGTTTGCCCCTGACCATCTTATACGGACGTCCCCATGGATCTTGGTTGAGGGTCTCTAAGAGCTCCTCTCTTGAGCGTGTCTTAGCCTCGCGAATGGACAGCTGCAGAATTTTCCGGCATTCTCTATACTTTTCGTATAGCTGTTCTTCTACAGTATCGTTACGAAGCCGTCTTCTGCGATATCTGGCGTACAGGCGCCTCGCTTTCACACAGTTAGTGCGTAAAACTGCTATCTCTACAGACCACCAGTACACCTGGCGCCTAGGAGGTGGGTGTTTGGCGCGGGGCATGCTTGCGTCACAGATGTGTGTCATAGCATCCTGAAACCAAGTTGTCTCCGTCTCAACCTCTACAGGCCCATTTGGTGGGGACAGCCACGATTGGACAATAGAGGCTTCAATGACAGCATCTCTACTCATACTTCTCAATACCCATCTTTTGGTTAATGATGGGATATGCCTTCTGACCGGACGACCGACGCTCGGAGTCTCTGGAGAAGTGGAGACATCGAAACGAATGTAACGATGGTCCGACAACGTTTCCACGTTCTCCAAAACTCTCCAGCCATGAACGCGGCTTGCTGTGGCAGGGGATGCAAACGAGACGTCTACGATAGATCCTTCCTGTCTCCGCACGCATGTGTAGACCGATCCCTGATTCAGCACTGTTAGGCCCGTTATAGTCACCCAGTCCTCTAGTGCCTCGCCACGCGCATCAGTCATAGGAGAACCCCAGACAGTAGATTTAGCGTTAAGGTCTCCCATGACAAGTACTGGGCGAGGTAGGTTTTGCCCAATAAGAGCCCCCAAATCGCTCAAGAATGTCTCAAATTCGGCAAGGCATCTGTTTGGAGAGAAGTATACCCCAATGAGAATTATTTCCCTCCACAGAATCGCCACATATCCCTTACCTCTCGCAACTATTGTGGAAGGTGGGACGCCTGCAGCCGTCGACGATATGATGGCCACTAAGCCATCGATGTCACCTACCCAGTTGTTCCTGGAAGCGACGAAGTATGGCTCGCCGACCACCGCTATATCAATTATCCACTGTGCCATGCTCTGCAAAAGCAAATCCTGTGCGCCGGCACAGTGGTTGATGTTGGCCTGAAGGAGACGATAATTACAATTTTCAGCCATCATGTTACTGGACTGCCATCGCCTCCTCCATTTGAGGTTGCGTAGGCGGGGTCCTTTCACCCACTATAACGCCCTTTCTTCTTTGTTTTGGAGGCGAGCACCTCTTGCTCCCCAGTACGTGGTCAGCCGGCCTGTTTGCTGCAATACACAGGGAACATTTTGGCGCAGCCGTGCACTTCGCTGACTTATGGCCAGTCTGGCCACATCGGTAGCAGTCATTACTACGGTCCACATCTGAAGTGCACTGCGCGCGCACATGTCCACTATGCAGACACTTATAGCACCGTAATGGTCTATGTGGCAATATTTTCACCTGTGCTGCCACCCATCCGATCAAAAGACGCCCGCCCCCTTCAACTTTCTTGGCTGCAGGTACCGGGCAGCTCACCCAGATAGTACCAGTGCCAGAGCTTGTACTGCGGATTTCGCCTACTTTCACCATTTCTGCAGGACATTCCCCTTGCTGTGCAATGGCAGCAACAACTTCCTCTGTAGTTATAGAGTCGTCCAGGCCAGAGATGCGCATCTCTGCACATTTAGTTGGTCTAGATACTCTAGCCACCTCCTCAGGCAACGACTCCTTTAATATCTTAGCCAAGGAGTCAGCTTTATCGCCGCTCGTTGCTCCTGGTATCTCTAAAATGCGGGCTCCAGTGGCCGCCTGTCGGTACCGCAGAGATTCGATACCGAGGCTAGCAAGGTCGATCTTCTTTCTAGCCTCTGTCAGCACCTTTGCATAAGTGAGGCCACGATCTTCAGCTCCGGGCTGCAGTGTTATAACTACAGCCGCGGATTTTGGGGAGCGCAGTTTCACAGATGCTGGTCTCTTGGAAGGATTGACGGTTCCTGCCTTGCGTTTTTTACCTCTTCTCACTACTGTGGTCCATCCTTCTTCCGTGGACTCAGGAGGTTGAGGGCGTGATTCTGTTGGCTGGTTGGTTGCCATTTCTGTTGTTCTCCCTTCGTGTCCCTTTCCCTTTCTGTTTCCTCTTTGTATTTCCAGCGCCGGAATTTTCTTGTTGCCTATTCTTGTTTTTACGGCGTATTTGTCAGCCTTCGTAATTGTATCAGACTTCCGCCGTAGTATGTCTGCATCATTTACTACATCTCTGCGCACATCAGCAGCCAGCGGAGGGCGGACACGCTTTTCTGGGAGAAGCCGCTCCTCAAGCGCCTCCAATCGCGCATTCATCATGTCACCAACTTGGCGCATAATGGAACTTATCAATTCCTCACTTTCCTTGTCTCCTCGCACCTGAGGAGTTGGTGGAGCAGGTGTTTTATTGATCCTCGCCATTTCAAGCCGGATTTCAGATAGCTCTTTACGAAGCTCCTCTATTTCACTGCGCAGGCAGGTGTTTTCAGCCTGCAATTTCGCCGTTTCTTCATTCACTGACCTCTTATGTAGGACCTCCACGACTGTTTTTATTGACGTGGCAGCATCCTTTAAGGCACGTTGAAATGTGCCTTTCAGATTTCTCGACTTGGCTGCTACCATCAGTATGACTCCGACATCGTCGAGAACCTGTTGGTTGAGAGCCATTGCCGAACGACTGTCATCTCCGACTAAATTAGGTAGCCCCAGGGCAGTTCGTTTTTGATTTGCAGCACAAACCATTTGTTCCACTTGCCTCTCAGCCATACTAAGAGCTTCCTCAGGCCCTGGCACTACGAACTCTCCAGAATTATCCATTAATGGTGTCACCTCTTTTCCTGTCTCAGAATTCGTCTCTTTTAAAAAAGCTTCATTGTCGCTGGACGATATTGATTTTGTAATACGTCTCTTTTTCGCCCCACGGGAGCGACCTCCAGACTTAGAAGCTGTCCTTGATACATCGCTACATAGGCTTGCATCTGATTCCGATCCAGCCTGCTTATCTCCTTCTGATGTTTTATAATTTTTATATTTTTCCATTTTTTTTCCCACGAGTGTGGAGGAAGTAACGGTCCATCCGAGCAGAGCCCCCTTTGCCCGGATAAGCCTATGCATAACCCGTCAAGGGTGTCGGCCGGTACCCTGACGGGGGGGCAACGCTAACGACTGAACATTTACCCATCAGCCATGCAGCTCCTCACGGCGTGCCACGCTTGAGCTTCGGGTGATTTTTTATAGAGGTTATCATCCTCGCGACTCCAGGCGGTTAAGCCAAGAGCCCTCGGCCCCTCAGGCGCCGCGAGACATGATCCACGACACGCCAAAGGGATTCCGAGGTTCGAACGGTGGCAGAGTCGATACAGGTTCTTCCCATGCCTGCCCAGAGACCGGGTGAGGGAACCCTGAGCCCATTCAATTTCCTTTTTTTTTTCAGGATGTAGTCCCTGAAAATCCCGCGCTGACGCGCTGCCCGGCGTCGGCAAAAGCTGAGTGCACCTGGCATCTCACCGCGCATGTCACATTCTCTGTTCCTCTCAATGGAGAGGATACGGGAAGCAACAAAAGTACCTCGTACCTATGATTCCATTCGGAACCACAGGTACGCCCAAACCCAGCCAGTTTTGGTCCGCGACGGTTTCCCGCTACCACTCATATCTGAGTGGCATTCCCCTATCCGCCACCTGGGGACGCGCCCGATGGGAGGACTGGCAACTCCACACGGGAACCTAACCTAACCTAACCTAACCTAACCTAACCTAACCTAACCTAACCTAACCTAACCTTTTTTTTTTACGTGGGGAAATCCTCATGGATACCCGTCTGTCGTGTAGGCGTCAGACAGGTTATGCCGGACTCCTACCGGCTAAAACCCCACTGTTTACATCTCATCACCTTTTGTCAGGGCTACGGGAACGCTTTCGCATACTACCGCAATCCCGACGGCAACAGCCCTTACAGGCTCCGACTCGATGACTTCTTCTTGGAGGGGCGTACCATCACACCGTACGCGCCACCTCGAGGCCCTGCATAATAGGTGACGGACAGCCCCAGTGTCCGCCCCCTAAGCCTCAATTACGGGGGGTGGAAGAGAGCCTGATATGCTCTTCTCCGGCGCCCAGCTCTCCGGCTGCGGATTGGGATTGTTGCCGTCTTTTCCCTCTCCCTCTCCGCAACTTCCTTTTGTGACATCACTTTTACGCAAAATGTTACCCCCAGCACTCCACGCGCTCTCGCATCCAACCATAGCTTTAATAAAAGCTGGGAGCGAGAGGTCATCCCCCACTACAGCCACGAGGTCCCGACGCAAGTCAGCCCAAGCCGGGCAAACCTCAAGGGTATGCTGCGCTGTGTCCTCGTCGCTACCACAGTGATGGCACTCAGTTGTCGGCTCTCTTCCGGCTATACGGCACAGATACTTACCGAAGCACCCATGTCCGGAAAGCACCTGCACCAGCCGGAAGGTTAGTGACCCATGCCGCCCGTTTGTCCAGTCTAACATGACCGGAAGAACAGCATCGACAGTTCTGCTTCCTGCCTTCGGGTGGGCTAGACGCTCCTTCCACTTTTCAAGCACCAGTTGCCGAGTGTGGAGCTTTCGCAATTGCCACTTCTGGGAGAGGGGGGACATCCTCGGTGTCGAATTTCCAAGCGCCAATCGTACATAGATGCAAGGAACTCCGCCTCTATATCCCAGGGTGGGGACGCCGCCAAAACGCATGCCGCCTCAAAGGAGATCGTCCGGTATCCTCGCACGACTCCGACGGCCATCGCCCTCTGGGGCCTTCTCAGGAAGGCGATGGTTCTTTCCGTCAGAGCCCCAGCCCATATAGGGGCCCCATATAAAGCCATGGACCGAACCACCCCCAAATAGAGACGGCGGCAATTCGCATCGGGCCCTCCGACATTGGGTAGCAACCTTTTTAAGGCAGCTGTTGCTCTCATTAGCCGGGGGGCCAAGCACCTAAAGTGCTCGCGGAAGCTCCAACGGCTATCCAGGATGAGTCCAAGGTACCTCATATTAGACCCAACCTGAATACGGACATCACTGACAATGATGTGGGATCCCTGTGGCGGTGCTTTTCGAGGCCTGTGAAAGCAGATGGCCTGGGACTTGCTTAACGCCACTTCCAGCCCCAACATCCTAATTCTGCCAACAACCAGTGCCACTGACGTAGTGGCAATACGAACGGCTACCTCATAGGTCTCCGCCCGGGCAGTGACCAGAGTATCGTCTGCATAGCAGATTATGCCAGCACCCGGGGGAAGGTCTCCCCGCAACACCCAGTCATAACCGACGTTCCAAAGAAGCGGTCCTAAAACCGAGCCTTGTGGAACGCCGCACGACATTACTCTCCTTAATATCCTGCCTACCCGCCCAGGATAGCAGACACATCGCTCAGAGAGATAGCTCCCGATTATTCGTCTGAGATAGGGAGGCACCTTGTGGTACTTCAGTGCCTCGCTGATGCACTCCCAGGGCATGGTGTTGAAAGCGTTGGCAATATCTATAGACACTGCCAATAAAACCCCACCCCTTGCTAAAATCTCGTCCGAATGGGCCTTGACGCATTTAATAGCGTCTATCGTTGACCGACCCATTCGAAAGCCAAACTGCTGGTCTGACAAATCGGGACCCATCTCTTCGAGATGCCCGATAAGACGACGGGCTATTATTCGCTCGAAGAGCTTATCTGCTTCATCGAGCAATACTACAGGGCGGTAGGCGGAGGGAGAGTCGGCGGGGGCCCATCCTTCTTCAGAAGGACTAGCCTGCCCGTTTTCCACTGAAATGGGAACCGTCCCATCTCCAGACAGGCATCAAGTAGCCTGCGGAATTGTTCCCCTAGTTACTTGAGGGCTAAAACCCAGGCGCGGCCAGGAATGCCGTCGGGACCTGGAGCTTTGTTTTTTTTTTTTGCTTGGAGTTTTAAGACTGCCGCACCAAGTTCCTCCTGCGACACTCGTGGCACCTCATTCTGTCCTTCTTCCATCTCCTGTACAGAGGCCATTGCTGGTGGTAACCACTCCGCCCGATCTGGAAATAGCACGTTCACCACATCCTTAACAAATTGAGGTTGGAGACTCTCCGTGAGTGGAGGCGCCCAAGATCGAAGTTTGCCCCTGACCATCTTATACGGACGTCCCCATGGATCTTGGTTGAGGGTCTCTAAGAGCTCCTCTCTTGAGCGTGTCTTAGCCTCGCGAATGGACAGCTGCAGAATTTTCCGGCATTCTCTATACTTTTCGTATAGCTGTTCTTCTACAGTATCGTTACGAAGCCGTCTTCTGCGATATCTGGCGTACAGGCGCCTCGCTTTCACACAGTTAGTGCGTAAAACTGCTATCTCTACAGACCACCAGTACACCTGGCGCCTAGGAGGTGGGTGTTTGGCGCGGGGCATGCTTGCACACAGATGTGTGTCATAGCATTCTGAAACCAAGTTGTCTCCGTCTCAACCTCTACAGGCCCATTTGGTGGGGACAGCCACGATTGGACAATAGAGGCTTCAATGACAGCATCTCTACTCATACTTCTCAATACCCATCTTTTGGTTAATGATGGGATATGCCTTCTGACCGGACGACCGACGCTCGGAGTCTCTGGAGAAGTGGAGACATCGAAACGAATGTAACGATGGTCCGACAACGTTTCCACGTTCTCCAAAACTCTCCAGCCATGAACGCGGCTTGCTGTGGCAGGGGATGCAAACGAGACGTCTACGATAGATCCTTCCTGTCTCCGCACGCATGTGTAGACCGATCCCTGATTCAGCACTGTTAGGCCCGTTATAGTCACCCAGTCCTCTAGTGCCTCGCCACGCGCATCAGTCATAGGAGAACCCCAGACAGTAGATTTAGCGTTAAGGTCTCCCATGACAAGTACTGGGCGAGGTAGGTTTTGCCCAATAAGAGCCCCCAAATCGCTCAAGAATGTCTCAAATTCGGCAAGGCATCTGTTTGGAGAGAAGTATACCCCAATGAGAATTATTTCCCTCCACAGAATCGCCACATATCCCTTACCTCTCGCAACTATTGTGGAAGGTGGGACGCCTGCAGCCGTCGACGATATGATGGCCACTAAGCCATCGATGTCACCTACCCAGTTGTTCCTGGAAGCGACGAAGTATGGCTCGCCGACCACCGCTATATCAATTATCCACTGTGCCATGCTCTGCAAAAGCAAATCCTGTGCGCCGGCACAGTGGTTGATGTTGGCCTGAAGGAGACGATAATTACAATTATCAGCCATCATGTTACTGGACTGCCATCGCCTCCTCCATTTGAGGTTGCGTAGGCGGGGTCCTTTCACCCACTATAACGCCCTTTCTTCTTTGTTTTGGAGGCGAGCACCTCTTGCTCCCCAGTACGTGGTCAGCCGGCCTGTTTGCTGCAATACACAGGGAACATTTTGGCGCAGCCGTGCACTTCGCTGACTTATGGCCAGTCTGGCCACATCGGTAGCAGTCATTACTACGGTCCACATCTGAAATGCACTGCGCGCGCACATGTCCACTATGCAGACACTTATAGCACCGTAATGGTCTATGTGGCAATATTTTCACCTGTGCTGCCACCCATCCGATCAAAAGACGCCCGCCCCCTTCAACTTTCTTGGCTGCAGGTACCGGGCAGCTCACCCAGATAGTACCAGTGCTAGAGCTTGTACTGCGGATTTCGCCTACTTTCACCATTTCTGCAGGACATTCCCCTTGCTGTGCAATGGCAGCAACAACTTCCTCTGTAGTTATAGAGTCGTCCAGGCCAGAGATGCGCATCTCTGCACATTTCGTTGGTCTAGATACTCTAGCCACCTCCTCAGGCAACGACTCCTTTAATATCTTAGCCAAGGAGTCAGCTTTATCGCCGCTCGTTGCTCCTGGTATCTCTAAAATGCGGGCTCCAGTGGCCGCCTGTCGGTACCGCAGAGATTCGATACCGAGGCTAGCAAGGTCGATCTTCTTTCTAGCCTCTGTCAGCACCTTTGCATAAGTGAGGCCACGATCTTCAGCTCCGGGCTGCAGTGTTATAACTACAGCCGCGGATTTTGGGGAGCGCAGTTTCACAGATGCTGGTCTCTTGGAAAGATTGACGGTTCCTGCCTTGCGTTTTTTACCTCTTCTCACTACTGTGGTCCATCCTTCTTCCGTGGACTCAGGAGGTTGAGGGCGTGATTCTGTTGGCTGGTTGGTTGCCATTTCTGTTGTTCTCCCTTCGTGTCCCTTTCCCTTTCTGTTTCCTCTTTGTATTTCCAGCGCCGGAATTTTCTTGTTGCCTATTCTTGCTTTTACGGCGTATTTGTCAGCCTTCGTAATTGTATCAGACTTCCGCCGTAGTATGTCTGCATCATTTACTACATCTCTGCGCACATCAGCAGCCAGCGGAGGGCGGACACGCTTTTCTGGGAGAAGCCGCTCCTCAAGCGCCTCCAATCGCGCATTCATCATGTCACCAACTTGGCGCATAATGGAACTTATCAATTCCTCACTTTCCTTGTCTCCTCGCACCTGAGGAGTTGGTGGAGCAGGTGTTTTATTGATCCTCGCCATTTCAAGCCGGATTTCAGATAGCTCTTTACGAAGCTCCTCTATTTCACTGCGCAGGCAGGTGTTTTCAGCCTGCAATTTCGCCGTTTCTTCATTCACTGACCTCTTATGTAGGACCTCCACGACTGTTTTTATTGACGTGGCAGCATCCTTTAAGGCACGTTGAAATGTGCCTTTCAGATTTCTCGACTTGGCTGCTACCATCAGTATGACTCCGACATCGTCGAGAACCTGTTGGTTGAGAGCCATTGCCGAACGGCTGTCATCTCCGACTAAATTAGGTAGCCCCAGGGCAGTTCGTTTTTGATTTGCAGCACAAACCATTTGTTCCACTTGCCTCTCAGCCATACTAAGAGCTTCCTCAGGCCCTGGCACTACGAACTCTCCAGAATTATCCATTAATGGTGTCACCTCTTTTCCTGTCTCAGAATTCGTCTCTTTTAAAAAAGCTTCATTGTCGCTGGACGATATTGATTTTGTAATACGTCTCTTTTTCGCCCCACGGGAGCGACCTCCAGACTTAGAAGCTGTCCTTGATACATCGCTACATAGGCTTGCATCTGATTCCGATCCAGCCTGCTTATCTCCTTCTGATGTTTTATAATTTTTATATTTTTCCATTTTTTTTCCCACGAGTGTGGAGGAAGTAACGGTCCATCCGAGCAGAGCCCCCTTTGCCCGGATAAGCCTATGCATAATCCGTCAAGGGTGTCGGCCGGTACTCTGACGGGGGGCAACGCTAACGACTGAACATTTACCCATCAGCCATGCAGCTCCTCACGGCGTGCCACGCTTGAGCTTCGGGTGATTTTTTATAGAGGTTATCATCCTCGCGACTCCAGGCGGTTAAGCCAAGAGCCCTCGGCCCCTCAGGCGCCGCGAGACATGATCCACGACACGCCAAAGGGATTCCGAGGTTCGAACGGTGGCAGAGTCGATACAGGTTCTTCCCATGCCTGCCCAGAGACCGGGTGAGGGAACCCTGAGCCCATTCAATTTCCTTTTTTTTTCAGGATGTAGTCCCTGAAAATCCCGCGCTGACGCGCTGCCCGGCGTCGGCAAAAGCTGAGTGCACCTGGCATCTCACCGCGCATGTCACATTCTCTGTTCCTCTCAATGGAGAGGATACGGGAAGCAACAAAAGTACCTCGTACCTATGATTCCATTCGGAACCAAAGAAACTAAGAAAACTAAGTTTAAAAAAAATCGTAAGAAATATGTATAGTATATATTAAGACGTAATATATTAACTATTCATACAAAATGCTGCAAAAGACCAGAAAATGATAAGGGATGGAGTTTAATCAGTCTAGAATGTAAGTATGCCATGAAAAAAATAGAGTTCAGTAAAATAGATTAGTTAGTAGTAAATAAATAACAAAATAATACGTAATAAGTTTGTATCAAATCTACTGTTAAAAAAATGTATTGATAAATCCAGCCTAGAGATAAGATATGTAAAGTTTATGACAAACACGTCATTGTTCGCATTAGGTTAAGAGTAGAAGGACTCCCGAACGAAAACCCGGAGTCCTCTACACCCTATACTATAGCAAGGACAAGGAAATAAAAATCAGAATTAAAAATCCGTTTCGAGCTGACAATGTCTCTGACCCCCTATGTCAGAGGAAAACAGCAATACATACAAAAAAAAAACCTAACCTAACCTAACCTAACCTAACCTAACCTAACCTAATCAAATTTGAATTTTCCACGTGCCATTCGTATAGGGAACACAACTATGTATGAGATTCGTATACGGAACACAACTATGTACGAGTCGAATACCTTTCTGTATTCTGTCCAGGCGGCGATGAAGTCCCGACTGTCGCGCGTAACCACCTTGCCAATGGCGCATCAATGAGGAGTGATTCCTTGGTTCAACGACCCCCGCCCCGATATTCATTTTGAGCACGTCATCACCTGATTGGTGACGAGTGATTTTCGCGCTCACAATGGATGTTAGTACCTTGTATTCTACATCCACAACCGCTAAGTATATTGATGTCTTAGGTTCCCGCTTCGATCGTTTGATGGGAAATCTTTCTCGCCCGGAGATTGTATGCGCCCCGTGACTCAGCGCCACTTTGGCTTCCGTCCGTTAAATACTGAGCCTGCCAGGACCTAGAGCCAAGGTTTACGTCGTGCTATCATCGTTCTATTTATTATGGGATCGTTAGTTTGGGTAAGCATTGCCGAGTTGTATTGGGCAAGTAGTTCCTTCTGTCTTGTTATTATTACAGGGTGCCCAATTTAGATATAACTGTTAATAAAAATAGAAAATCAAATCGTAACTAATGTAAACAACGATAATGACAACGATGGCTGTACTAGTTGTAGTGGAAGTGATTAAATTAATTTGTTTTTAATCTAGTTCAATCTTAAGCAATAAATCTGAAAAAAGCTGACAAATTTTGTGAATCGAATTATCTGTTTTTACTCTATTTTGGTATTATCCTAGATAAAACTGTATGATATCGATATTTAATAACAATTGAATATTATAGGTACAGATTTTTCACTCATATTCAATTAAGTTTTATTATATATATAATTAATTAACTAATTAAGGCACTCTGCCTAGTCCAATAAATATGACAGCTGCCTAAAGGTATTTCTTATATTTGGTGGAGTATAAAGACAAGCTTGTAAGAGAAAGAAGAAGTCGATGGATGTAGGTGGCTCAAGAACGTGGTTGGTAGATTTCCTTAATAAAAGTCCATGTTCAGGTATGAGTGGAAAGGCTTATAATGATGACGACGAATTAAACACATATTTCACTAACGTATATGTTTATTTTATTGATATTCATTACACAAATATTTTCCAACTGTTGCTCGAACCCGCAAAATCATTTTGAAGGTAGAGCTACTAAGTACACAAATACACCCACACAAATGTTGATAAAAAGCAAGGTCAAAAATAGTACAAAAGTGGCCGCGCTCGACAGAAATCCCCTTCTAATAAAAACTTGCTCAACCCTCTCTCTGTGTGAGGACTTAAAAAAAGCGGCCCTCCATCAAACTCAGGCCCAGTCGCGCCAAAAATACGACAAAGCGACTGCAGAACCTCCGTGTACTGTTTTTGTTGGTCAGCTATACTCGCGATCTTCGAATAGTGTGGATGTTCCTACAGATAAATTATAAAAGTTTGAAATTTTATAAATCTATATTTCTTTGAATAATACATTTCTTTTTCAGATTTTATTGTATTCACGGGGAGACAAGAGGTAATTGACGTCACGATGTCATAGTTAACACCAAGTACCTTCAGCTTTTAATTATTAATTTTGGTCAGATCTACACAGATTAAGCTTACTGCATGTTAAAGTCTTGCAGCGGTGTGCTCGGATTTAGGTTTAGAAAACTAAACCCATATTTATAGTTTTATTCTGTCTGGTGTGTACGTAAGTATAAGAAATTATTTATAATAGGATGATACACAGAATCACAGACATTTATGTATGTCTGTGATTCTGTGTATCATCATAGGTAAGTAAACTTTCTCAAAACAAAAAGTCAAACAAAAAGTAAATGAGAATGTTGGTATCCAGAAATTATAGAAAAGAATATACTCAAGTAATTAGATTCTAATGCAGTGAAATTTTATTTATTTTTATTCATTACCAGGCAATTTTTGTGTTCTCTAATTTGGTCGAAATTATAATTCTTCATCTTATATTCTAAATCATGTGCAAAATCTCACAATCTGCTACAATTCAATTTCAAATCTCTTTTTCTTTCTGTCTTATTTTCCAGGACATTATAACATACTGCATGGCGTAGCTCACTATAGAAAAAACATGTTATAAATGCGTTAAGAATGACAGTTAGATTGGCGATTCACATATCACCGAATTTGGTTCCCGGATATGCGCGTACAGATCGTTAATAATGAGCTAGTTATCCGTCGTGCTGGTAAATACATTCCTTGGAGATGGCTCAAAGGAACATTTTCCAAAATTGTGTCTATGACGGAACGTATCAATCGACCTCCAATCCATATTGGACCAATGACGTGGTCGTTAATGATTGCCACCAAAACATTAACACTGAAACGAGTTTGATGAGCACGTTCTTTGATTTTGTGTGGGTTTTAGAATCTACCAGTACTCATTGCGCACGTTGTAAATTCCAACACGGGTAAATATCGATTCGTCGCACGTACTAAGTTTTCATCAGACGACATAAAATCTTGCCATTGTTAGATACTTGACATTGGAGTATTGGTACTTGTTTACGTTACACACGCGGAAACAAACAATACGACGGTGACGCGACGTCCCGCCGCAGCTAATCACAAGTCACTCAAATAAGTTAATGTGTGAGCGCGCGGGCGGCTTTGTTCTTGAGATTGTAACCATTGTAGTAGGCAAGAGAGTAAGGAAGTGGTATCCGTAGGATGCTCAGGACAGACCACCTCAGCAACGGGTGGAAGGACAGCCTACGACATGCTCAGCAGGAAGATCCGGACATCAAGCCGATTCTGGAAGAGATGAAGGCCCGGGCTACCAAGCCTAAGTGCAGGGACGTCTCAGCGATGAGTTAAACCACGTATTTTAAAAATAACAATACGAAAATATGTTGGTACATCATATTTTCAAAATAAGAAAACAAATATATAGAGATATTTTAATAATAAGAACATTTTAAAAATACGAAACCAAAAATATAAGCGTGCGACACAAACGTATATTACACAAAAGTGCGAAATTACGCATTTATATGTAATGGACGTCGCACATCGGTGAAATTCGTGCGGTATGCACTCCGCAGTGAGCGAGACTACTCGTCCCCCACTCATCTGCTTCACCCTCTCTAGTACATAAAAGTCGTCTATTCACCGCGTCTTAAGCCCTTTAGTGAAAAATAGCAATTCTACGCTGAGTATTTATTTGAAAAACATTTTAGCTATTTCCCATTAGGTGACGCTTCTAAGTATAAGGTAAAAATAAGTTTTAGGCAGTCGTCAGATACTAACATATTTGTAAATAAATAGTGACATTACTGGATAACAGAGGGCACTTATTGCAATAATTTTTCTTTCTTCTGGAACAATCTGCCAGAAATAAAATTTAAAGATTATTTGGTAAATATGCATTATTCTTAGGATAATAAACCGAAATCATGTTCATTTATTGCTCCATATCATGGCTTACTATACCTTAATGCACAACCGGGCATATTTTCTTTAAAAAATATTTTTTTAATTTATGAAACGAATGCGTCTTGACCTTTAGGCGATGTCACTAAGACCAAATGACAAAAATCGGAGATATATCCTATGGGACAAAAGTTACGGACGACAACTTTGTTGCTGATGTCCGGTCATACTACTACTATATATTTAAACACGATGAATATTGAAGACCATCTAGCGACGAGTGGCGGTATTAGAATTTACAAAATCTGACCCACTCGAGTTTGAAACCCGAAACATATTAACACTCACACCTCACTTCATACATACGACAATAGAGGGCGCTGTTAACTATCGGGATGGATGGAAATATCACTTATCGTAAAAGAAAATTGACATGACTGTGATGAATTAACATTTGATAATTCTTATATACTTGATAAACGAATTATATGAAATTAAATGGAAAAAGTTATTTAGCG